GTTTTAAAATAAGATTCTACTTTATCCATCTGTCTATTCATTTCTTTCTCACTTTTTAGAGCTGCCCACAAATTTATTTTTCATTTCTTGGCAAAAAAAATTTAGGCTCCGTTTTGTATACGGAATTGACAGAATTAGAATTGAGTTGGAGTTAAAATTCAATACAATTGATTTATATGAAATTGAATTCTCCAATTCCATTTCATTTTTGGCACTATCAATTTTAAATCTACATATTTTTGTGTTACTAAACAGCAGAATTGAAATTATTGTCATCAATTCGAATTTTATAATTTGAAATTTATCACTTTCTTAAAAATGATTTTGGTTTTTTAATCTTGATGATCGGTCCAATTGTGATTTGTGGAGCATTAATATAGGAAAAAGGGAGTACAATAAGGCTTTGTTTGGTAACAGCTTTTTCGATTAACATTAGTGTTTTGAATAAAATTTTAATGATGCAGATTAATTCTGAAAACGCTAACGCTAAAGGTTATCGTCGGATGACTTTTTCAAAACGCTAACGCTAATCTCTAACGCTGATGCCAAGCGGGGCCTAATTCTAATCTTTAATCCGATTTCTACGTACTCCGAATTTGATTTGATTATGTATGTGAAGGGCTCTCTTTTGGGCTTTTAACTCTAATCCTAATAGCCCATTGAGAAAACATCGGAAAATAGAAGAAATTAGACCTTTCAAAAAATGATACGATTTGTTTTTTATTCGAGACCCAACTCAAAAATATTGGGTTTTGAAAAAAAGTTTTGCTGACTGAACCCGAAGTTGACCGAACCCGAAATTACTCGTTAAAAATGGGTCAAACCCGATCGAACCCGAACTTGACCTGACCGACCCGCTAATGTGAGAATTTTTCAAATCATATGCTTTAATATGTAATATAATGTTATAAAAATAAGATTTTAATTATATTTCTTTGAATTCTATTCATTTTTATTGTATAAATTTATATTTTCATACAAAATTTTAATGATATCGCATAATTATCTTTCTATTTTTAAAAATTTTCAGCATATTTAGTTTTTTATTCGTAATATTGATAATCAGTCATAAAAATTACTTAAAATTTCAAAAAAATATGAAAGTTGGGTCGACCCGAACCAGATGACATTGAGTCATGAATATGTAGCTCTCAACTTGAACCCGAACATACCCAAACCCGAAGTAACTTGAACCCAGGGTGATCGAACTCGAACCCGATCTGACCGACCGTTTTGCCAACTCTAGAAGAAATTCAAAAGAAGTTGTAAAAAAATGAATTCGGGCATGTTTTATACCATGGGAAAAAAGAGTTGAGTGTAGAAAAAACTAGAAAGAACTACAAGAAATTGGAATGAACTAGAAAAACTAGAAGGAATTAGAAAAGATTAGTTTGATTTGCTTCTACCCCTATCCTTTAGTGTCCACCCAATGCTGAATTCAAGGCTCTTCTGCAGTAGTTTAATTTCAAACGTCCAAAAACTTCAAAACTCTCTTTTCTGCTTGAAAATAAAAGT